TTTGGGTATACACCCAGCAGTGGGATTGCTAGATCATACAGTAGTTCTATTTTTAGTTTTCTGAGGAACTTCCAAACTGTTCTCCATAGTAGCTATACTAATTTACATTCCCACCAATAGTGTACAAGTGTTCCCTTTCTCTATATCCTTGCCAGCATTCTTGCCTTTATAATGTGTGCAAAATATATAAGGTGTCTACTTTTTAATTCCCTATATTATATAGCTTTTGTTACTTCAATTTTAAAATATTAATTGTTATACATAAATACAATTGGGTTTTGTTGTACATATCATTTGTATCTTTTTAGCGTGTGTCTTCTTTTTATCTTGATGAATCTATCTAAAGATTTATCAATTTTACTAACTCTTTAAAATAACTAGTCTTGTATTTTATTTTTCAATATTACTTTTTGTTCCACTGGGTTTCAAATGTTTATTTTCTTCTCTAATACAAATGTTTAAAATGGCTGATTAGCAGAATGGTGCATGGGAAAATTATTGATTTTAAAGTTAAGATTGACTTAGGTTCCAAGCTTGATATTGCTAGTTTATAGCTATGTTACTATTTCTTACTTTCTGCATCAACCACATGGAGAAAATGTTACCTTTCTCATAGAATAATTGGAGAAATTAAAAGAAATAAAATAAGTACATCCAGCTTCTTAGTTATTTTGATTATGGTATTAAAATGTGCCACATCAAAAACTAAAATGCACATATATTATTTTAATTTTTATACTAATTAAACTATAATAAAACAGAAATCACAACTCACACAACATTCACAATATACAGGTGTTTCATCACGTGACTACAGCATAATATTTTCTAAAGTCAAACATAAAAATGTTAAGAGTAATTTCCGTCTACTTTAAGACTACTTGGTTTTCATTAACTAGAAAAAATCATTTTACAATTGTTATAGTCTTTTCTTCAATCTACATTTTACATCATCACATCTATCAGTGAAAAATGTAAGTACCATATACTTACTATATCCAAATTTTATTAATTCTCAAATTCTGAAAATACAGATGATTATATAAGAACTATTTATATAAAAACAAAAATTAAGTCTCACAGTTATGAGACTGAATGAATAAAAACTTTTACAAATATTTTATAAGGATTGTTAGATGTCATAATTCTCTAATGTGTTTCTCTTCTAAACTACTAATAAAGACCATCGTGGAAAACATCAGCCAAATTACCAGACAAAACAGGCTAAGCCTGTATTCATTATACTAAGATACTGAACTTTACAAAGACATCAGGCAATCTTTTCTTATCTCCTTGCAAATTTTCTTTTTGGTCTTCTCTTCTTTTGCCTCTAAAAATGTAAATATTTCAGGTCTTTAAAGAAATAACTGGTATTCCACTTAAATGACAGCATCTTATTCCATGAAAGGGGGACTTACATGAAAAGTTTAAACAGAAAAAAAAAAAATTAAATCATTATCAACCTTTACAGTAACTTGTGACTTTGCATTTATTTCTCTATTTGCGTAGTGTCTCTAACTCCCACCAGTTGCAAACTCATGTAGGCAGGGATCTTTTCTGCTTTTGCTCACAATTACATCTGGAACAACAGAGTACAACTGGAACAAAGTGCTCAGTGCATTATTTCTCTATCATTTTTACTAATTTTGCATGATGAGATTTTTACCTTTTCCAGAGATTCCTTATCTTTGAAAAATAAAATATTGCCAATTGTATGAGTTTTCTATTGATGCTGTAAGAAATTACCACAAATTTGCTGGCCTAAAAGAACACAAATTTATTATCTCAAAGTTCTTTACATCAGAATCTGGTGATCTAAGCTTGTTTCTCCACCTGTGTCTCACAAAGCCAAAATGAAAGTGTCTGCTGGTCTGTGTTCCTTTCTGGATTCTAGAAGAGAATGTTTCAAGTGACATTCTAATTTTTGGCAGGCTTCACTTCTATGAAAACACAGGAGCCCTAATTTCCCTGGCAGCTGTTGGCCAGCAGTCATTCTCAGCTTCTAGAGGTGGCCATCATTGGTTTGGTCTTGATTCCCCTTCTCCCTCCTCAAGACCATCAAGGGAAGGTGAAGCCTCTCTAATGTTTTGAATCTTTCTTCTACTTTCCTCTTCTGTTGCATCTCTCTCACTAATCTTCTACGTTCCTCTTCTAATTTTCAGTGTCTATGTAATTAGATTGAGCCCACCTGAATAGTCCAGGTGAATAGCCCTATTTAAGCACAGCTGGTGAGCAATCTTTAATTACATCTGTAAAACCCTTTGCCACGTAATATTAACATATTCCCAGGTTCCAGAGATTAAGGCATGAACCTAGAGACTGAGGAGGACTATTTTTTCTACAAAACCAAAAACTTAACAGCATTCAATTTTTCAGTATTCATAACATTCTAAATATATCAGTTACTCAAATTCTACCAAATTTTTGCATACTCTCTAAATAATCCTGGGAGTACAGTTTACATCTCTACTCTGAAAAAGCAAAGCAGACCTCTGAAGGTGTGTTTTCATTATTTCTTACTGACATAGGTTCACTTCAATTTGTATTTAATAAAACCTTGTGGCTGAGGTATGAGAGCTTTTTGGAAAAGGTGCAATGAAATGGAAAACTGTCTTTTTGAACTTTTTCCCCACACTAAAAAAAAAAATTATTGTATAGTTCAAACATATAGGAACTGTTACAATCTCTGAAAGCATGTATCCTGCAATGAATTTAATCTTTACAAAATAACTTGACTGGAAAACACAGTTCAGGAGGCCATACTGAACAATGAATTTCATTTATAGTGAAATAAAATCGCTATGACTATAATCTCTACTTTATATACGACAATGATGTTATGATTTTTTTGTAATATCACTTTTCTGCCTAGCACTAATGAAATTTTAAAGTTGACAAAGTCAAAAATACTTTAGAATACAAATAATCCCCGTGAAATATAGTTTATATTTTAAAGTCACATTGAAGTTTCAAGCTGATAGTTTTCCTTCCAAATTTTTTACAAATAGAGTAATCTTATTTTTTCATATTGTATTCAATTTTGATTAACAACAATTAGGCAAACTTCAATACCTCTACTATTATCAGGATTGTGATTGTATATATAGAACTGTTTTGAAGTTAATGACATACTAATCATATAAAAGAATGATCTTAAGATGACCTCATATACAGCAGCCTATTTTTTCTGCAAGTATACATATGATGTATCTAGACCCAAGCAGAACAAATAAACAAACAAAAAAGCACACTGATGAAACCACTATATCTATTCAAGTTAATGAAAATTGAGAACAAAGAAAAATTCCCTAATGATTATAACAACAGGAAAAAAATTACATTGGCAGAAGAATGCTCAGTATCAGCCTAAGCTGCGAGATGACAATACGAAAGACAAAGAAATTTTGAAAACAGGTAGAGAAAAGACAATCACCTGTAAAGAGATAACAATTAAAGTGTAACACTGGAAGTGAAAATGGAAGTCTGAAATCAGTGGAATGACTAAAGTGTTAAGAAAACTTAAATGTTAAATAGAGTGATAAAGCCAGCAAAACCATACTGTGAGTATAACGATGAAATTAAGATATTTTTATGTTTAAAAAGCTACTGTATATACTATATAGTTCTAGCTATCTCCAATTTAAATTGTCTAAAAATAAGCTTCTGATAATCCCTCAAAAATCAGCACCTCTTACATTTTTCTCTATCTCAGATAATGGCAAATCTCCCCTGCTACTTGTTCAGGTCTAAAACCTTAATTCAACCTTGACTTCTCCCTTTTGTCACAGTCTACATCAGAACGATTGGCATGTACTCTTCAAAAAATACTTAGACTGTAACACTTCTCACCATCCTTACTGCCAACACTCTACTCCAAGCCACCATCATCTCTCACTGTTATGACAATAGTCTATATTAAATGTTTCTATTCTTGATCATTTCTGTCTTTATAGTAACCAGAGTGACTTGGCCAAAACATAAGTCAGATCTTATCAATGGTTTACTCAAAACACTCTAAAAGCCTTCCATCCCACTGTGAAGCATGGCTTACCAAATCACACATTTTATGGGTATACATTACATACTATGCACATCTCCTTATCTCCAAATCTCCTTTCTGTTGTAACTTTACCAGCTTCTTTGTTATATTATCTGGAACTTGCCAGACCTTCTTGCAATACCTGTTCTCTTTGTCTGCAAAGCTTTTCCGTTTGATACCTGAATATTCCCTCAAATCTTTTGGTCTTCATTCAAAAGTCACTTTCCTAGTCAGGTGCTGTGGCTCATGCCTGTTATCCCGACACTTTGGGAGGCTGAGGTGGGTGGATCCCCTGCGGTCAGGAGTTTGAGATTAGCCTGGCAAACATGATAAAACCCTGTCTCTACTAAAAATACAAAAAATAGCCAGGCGTGGTGGTGGGTGGCTGTAATACCAGCTACTCAGGAGGCTGAGTGAGGCAGGAGAGTCACTTGAACCCAGGACACTGATGTTGCAGTAAACCGAGATCATGCCACTGCACTCCAGCCTAGGCAACTCCATCTCTTAAAAATAAAAAAGGTAACTTTCCCATTAAGACCTTCCTTGCCTACTTCATCTAAACTCTTCATTTTATCTGTTTTATTTTCATATTTTTCTGCTTTATTTTTTCCGTTAATAACTATGTAACATACTACATACTACATATTTCACATTTTATTGTGTTTATTACCTATCCCTCAGAATTGTAGTTCCATGAAAGCAGAGATTTATATATATATAATTGAAGTTTTTATATATATACATATATAGGGAAAGAAACAGTATACATACAAATTATTAAAGTTACATATTTATATGTGTGTGTATCTATATATATAAATGTATAAAAGTGTATATAACTTTTATACATTTATGCTTTTATACACACATACATATATGTATACACATACACATATATATATAAGCTTTTATACATTTATACTTTTATACACATACATATATATAAAACTTTATGCCCAGTACACAATATGTACTGCTTTGAGTGAATTAGTGAATAAGAGTTCTTATTATTCAAATCTTACTAAAGGGATTTCTAAAAGATATACTTCAAGAATGAAAATGACCCTAGAAAGAAGGTCTGAATGCAAAAAGAAACAATAAATAAATAATAAATACAAATGAATCTAAACAGCAATATATTATATAAAATAACTTATAAGATCAAATAAAAGTAAAGCTAAAGCACCGTTCAGTCAAAGAACATGGTTATTGATGAAATACAAACTTTATTATGTGTGCATGTAGCAACACCAATAGTATTTACTAAAAGAGCAAAGTAGCATATGTACCAAATCAGTAAAGCTAACAGATGAAATAAGAGTGGAGATGTAGAATGGTGGCAAAGATCTGAATCATTTCAATTAAAAGAAAGAAAGAAGACAAAGAAAAGTAGAAAATAGAGATTTTGTAACCTGTTTATCGAAATGTCTGCCTGTTTCCTGAATGTATTCAGGAAAACATATTAGTAACAAAGAGACCCACTCAAAACATGGTCAGAGACTAGTTGAAAGTAAAAAGATGAAGAATGATATGCCAGATAAATTCTAGCTTAAAAAAGTAACATGGCAAAAAAGTACAAGTAGAGATAAAAGAGAGTCATTATAACATGAAAAAAACGTTCAGTTTACCAGAAAGCTATAATACATAGGCATGTGAGAGTTGAAGGTGGGGCCTGGTGGAAGATGTTTGGATCATGGGGGAGGACCCTCATGAATAGCTTGAGCCATCCCCTTAGTGATGAGCAAGCTCTCTGAGTTAGTTATTTAAAAGTGTGTGGCTCTGTCTCTCTCTCTCACTCCGATTTTGACATGTGACGTGCCTGCTCCCTCTTTGCTTTCCGCCATGACTGTAAGCTTCCTGAGGCTTCCCCAGAAGCAGATACTAGTGCTGTGCTTCTTGTAAAGCTGCAGAACTTTGAGCCAGTTACACCTCTTTTCTTATAAATTACTCAGTCTCCGGTATTTCTTTACAGTAACGCATGAATGGCCTAATATATCAGGAGAGTCAGAGTTTTTAACAGATTATTTGGAATAATTAATATGTTAAGTAGGATACAGAAGATAAGAAAATTTCAGTTAACAAATGATGTAGGTGACATCTATAAAATATTGTATGCAACTACTGGAAAATACACATTTTTTCAAACGCAAATGGAAAATATACAAAAATACCAAGTATTAGGCTATAAATTAAGTCAACATATTTTAAAAATTGCAGTGGATAGATCATCTTTCTTGAATACAAAGCAATTAAATTAATAATCAGTTACCAAAAGATGGTATGTTTTTAATAAGACTGCAAATATTTGGAAATTTTAAGTGGGATTTTAGGTAATTTAAAGATTGAAGAAAATAAAGTAATATAAATTAAGATATAGTTAGAGCTCAGTGACACTAAAAACACTATAAGCAAAACAGAAATATAGTGAAACTAAATAAATAAAATAATGTCACTGTTTTAAGCTACTGAGGACTTAAAATTTTTTACACAGTTGATTAAAAACTTTCTACTTTATTTTTATGAAACCAGCAAGGAATGAACAAAATCTGATAACAAAGACTGACAACAAAAAAATCAAGAAGGAAATATTCCAGACTAATATTATTTACAAATATAGGTGCAACATTCCCTAAGATAATGTTGTATATCTAGTTACAAAAAAAGCAAAATACTAAAGCTTCTACTAAAAAAATCTTTAAGAACTTTAGAAAGAAAAGAGTCCTTAAACAAGATGCTAAAAGCAGTAACTATAGGGAAAGGATGAAAAATTGGATCATATTAAAATTAAGGAGTTATGCTCACCAACAGCAATTATTAAGAAATAAAAGACAAATCACAAAAAGACAATATTTCATATGTACAACTGTCAAATATAATCACAATATATAAAGAACTATTACAAATCACTAATAAAAATAACCTAACAGGCAAGAAACATGAAAAGGCACTTTACAAAAGGGTATCCAAGTGTCCCAAACACAAATAAAAAAATTAAACTTTATTAGTTATCAGGAAAATGCATATTAAAGCCTCAATGAAATACTCCTAAACCAGAATGGTCAAAATGAAATAGACTAACGATATCATATGTTGGTTAGATCATGGAGCAATTGGAAGCCTCATACACTACTGGTTGAAATATGAATTACTACATTTTCTTGGGAAAAGTGTTGGGAAATAATCCGTTACAATGGAACATCCACAACCTCTAAGACACAAAAAATTACATTCCAAGAAATAAAACCAAGTGAAATGTATATTCGTGTGTATCAGGAAATACATGCAAGAATATTCACTGTAGCCATATTCATAAAGGCACCAAAGTGTAAACAACCCAAATTTCAATAAGTAGTAAACTGGACAAAAAATTGTGAGACATTATTATATTGAGAATAAACTATTGATTTCTGCAGCAATAAGGATTATAGCCCACAAATTATAAGGCTGAATGAGAGAAGCCAGACACAAGATAATACATACCATGTTATTTAATTTACATATAAATTGAAAAACAGCCAAAATAAAGAGTGGTGACAGAAGCCAGAATTGTGGTTACTTTGCTACACAGGTAGTGAGTAGGAGAGAATAACAGGAGGGGCTAGGGTCAGGTCAGGGGTGCTTCTGATGTTCTATTTCTTGCTCTTAATAATGATTACAAGGGTGGCTCACTTAAATAAATACATAAAGATATACACTAATAATTCATATACTTTATTTTAATGCAATAATTTTATTTTTAAAAATGCATGGCTTGGAGGTTGTGGATTAATTATTAGGTAAAGCCACAAAGCTTTATAGCAATATAAAATTTGAGATCCTCTCCGTTACCGCTTTGTAATATATTTATCATTAAAAGTTACATATAAAACAAGATTCCCCAAATGCAATACTTTAAGGGATGGATATATTGAATCTATGTTAATATAATTTGTCTTTATGTGCAAAAAAGGCTTTTCGAACAAATTTTAAATATCTTTGCATTTCTTAGAATTTCACATTTTATTACATTTCTTCTAAATGCAAATCCCTCTCTTAGGGAAGAATAAACTGTCCACATAATCTCAAGTTCAGACAATGAAACCTTCTAACAACATAGAATGATGTTTTAAGTTATAGAAAACCGTAATGTATTCAGGTAACCAATGCTGACTCTACAAAGTACGCTACTAAAATCAATTTTTATCACTTGAAATCTACTGCAATTAGAGTGCAATGCCAAGTCACTGACACACTAATGGGTTTTAAAATATTTCAAAAAGGATAAGAAAATTGCAAAGTGTTTTAATTGAAATGCAGCTCCAATAAGTATAACAAATTGGATAATATGAGCCATCTGTAAAGCTACCATATAAAACTACCATACCATACAATGTTGAGTTTTAATAAATGTGCAGCATTGTCTAGCTTCACTTTATATAACAATTATCCTATATTTAACAATTTTAAAACCTTTATTATAGCTTCTAACATAAAAGCAGTTCTTTCTGTGTTCCAACTGTTTGATTTTTAATTTCATTTTAGAACAATAGTGCAATATTTCCTAAGACTGGCTCTACAAAATTAGACATGGCTTGCTTGAAAAGAATATTATATCTAAAAGGACATATTTTTGTTGTATTCAACTACAACAGTGCACTACATTAAAATGATTAAACATAAATTAGAAACCAGGTTTTGTAATTCCTTGGTTAAATTAATTATTGCAAAAATGATAATTTCTGGCCATAAAGGCTGTAATAATTACACAGAAAAAAATAGAGCCACTATAATATGACAATCTTCAGTTTTTGTATCTCCCCATATTTCTTTAACTATAACTTTTTGTCATTTAGTTAATGACATTTCTTTCCTTGATTCTCTTAATTTCTATGATTATATATCTTAGGCTTAAAAAGAGCACTTCCTTGCTCCCAAACACACATTTCTACACCTTTTTATCATTCACCCAGCTCAAGAAAACCTCTTTCCCTTCCTACTTTCTCTTTCTTCCTTTCTACATCCCTTCACCAACTCTAATACTAATATCACATTATTCTCAAAAGCAAAAACTTCCACTTGAAGTGGTATTTCAAGAACTTGCACATCAATTTTTTTGCCAACAATACAGAAGCTATGGTGAGTATGCAAACCAGAAACAAATCTAGGGCAGTATTTTGGCCAGTGACACAGCTGGATGCTGTTCAGAAATAAAATTACAGCAGAAAGTAGCTCATATTAAAACACTTTTTAAAATGTTTCATTTTTCTTTCTCTTTCCCACAATATACACTGGGGAAGGCAGTATGGGAATTGTCTCACATTCCTTTTTTATCACTTTCTTCACAGCATAGCAGCCCTTGACCTGCTCTCAGTTTTGCACTAATCCCTTACTCACTTGCTTCACCTTTCCTATCCTATTCCTTTACTCTCTGCAATGCCATCAATTAGAACTGAACAGGTGTTTCAAACTTTAATAAATGATTGGCATAACTAACAGGAATTACAATGTAAAAATGAAACATTGTCACTTTATATCAAAGAAGACTAAGCTTTAGTTCAGTAGTTCTCAAACTTTAGCATGCACTAGAATCACCAGAAGGACTTATGAAAACACAGGTTGGTTGGACTCCACCTCTACAGTGTCTGAATCTTTAGGTCAGGTAAACATCTAAGAATTTGAATCTTTAGTAAGTTCCAGGTGATGCTGATGCTGGTATCCCAGGAACCACACTTCGAGAAAAACCGTTTCAGTCTAAGTTTGTGCCCTACCCTCAGGCCCACAGCTCTCCATAAGAGCACATTCTTCTTCAAAAACACTATCCTTTAGGAGACGTTTTGAATGGTGTGGTTTCACTTCAGATTCATTTCCACATATCTAAATTACTTTCAAAATAAATTCTAGAGAACATCTGACAACTGTTTATCACATTCTCCCCTCAGTCTCAATGCACACACTAAGGATGTCAGAAGTATTCCATTCTGGTCTCCTTCAGTGTTTTCTCCACACTGACAAGCAGTTATAAACATTCCTCATTTTCTTGAAAGTTTTCTACCAACCACATATATATGTATGCACACCAGGGCTACTCAATAGACACAATATTTGAAATTCATTATTATTTAAAGCTCTATTAATTTAACCCTGGCCACCATCCTCCAAACTATATGTGGAGGGGGAGGAGGGGTTACTTCAGTCACTTGATAAGAAGTTTATTTAAAATTCTCTTTAAAATATGTTCACCAAAGATATTCCATTGATACAAGTTACTCTGTGTATTTGTAAATGATAAATAGAAGTTAAATATTTTTAGAAACAATGTGATTTTGTCTATAAGGGAAAACACTAAGTTCTCAACCAAAAAAATTTAAAATCCCAATAAAATATTAATTTTTTACTCATATGATTCAGGTCATTGAGGGTGGGGGTGGTGGTGGGTCAGGGTCTATCCAAGCAGGTATTTAGGACCCAGTCTCTCAATGGCTCTGCATTGTGCAGGAGGCTTCCCAGGTTCTCCTGAGGGTAGATATCCAGTTGACAGAGAAACAGAGAAAGAAGCAGGAATACTGACTTCTTCCCTTTTTTTTTTTTTTTTTGAGATGGAGTCTAGCACTGTCACCTAGACTGGAATGCAATGGGTGCTATCTCAGATTACTGCAACCTCTGCATCCTGGGTTTAAGCCACTCCCCTGCCTCAGCCTTGAACTCTTGACCTCAAATGATCCACCCACCTTGGCCTTACAAAGTGCTGGTATTACAGGTGTGAGCCACCATGCCCAGCCAGAATAGTGATATCTTAATCACTACAGCTCCAATGTCACATTACTTCAATTCTGTGGGCAAGGGCAAATCACAGTATCCCACCTAAACAAGACAGTTAAAAATGTAGTCACTGGTCTGGAGGC